GATCTTTTTCGTCGCGCTGTGATGACGTCACATACGCGATTTCGTCGACCGCGATTTTGTCGTCCGCGGTTTTGTGGTACAACCCCTACCAGTCAGTGGTGGGATTCAACTGGTGTGTAACAACCGGTTTGCTGAGCACGTGCTCAGCAAACCGGTTTACAAACATTTAGAAAACGATGTAGAAATGTTAAGTTGTCTTTGAAAATAGAGGCCAACCTTCTCTAAATATAGTACCCTCCATATCGCAGGTGTTTGGCTTGTAACTTCCAGAATTCCTAGCTAGCACTAATGGCTGGGGAACTCGGAATTGGTATTCTAATATTTGGATAATATAGGTAGTCCTTGACTTACAACCACAATTGTAGGAATTTCCATTGTTAAGCAGGGCAATTAGGTGTGTCACATCCTATTTTACAGCCTTTTGGGGGGAGGGGCATGGTTACATGAATCATTGTCTCTGGTTGTGGGAAGCCACATGAGAAGGTCACAGCGGTGATGACATGACCCCCAGAAAGCTGCAAGTGTTTGCAAATACATGCCGGTTGCTAAGACTCTGAATTTTGATCACATGACCGTGGAGACGTGGCAACGGTCGTAAGTGGAGGACCAGTTTTATAAGTCATTTTTTTCACTGCCATGGTAACTTTGAATAGTCGCTAAACAAATAGTTGCAAGTTGAGGACTCCCTCCACTATTTTAAATCACTTTAAATCAACAAGCTTTAAATAAAGAGCGATGAGATATAGTAATCTCAGTAATTTAAAGCAGAGGTCTCCAACCTTGGCAACTTTAAGCCTGTTGGACTTCAACTCCCAGAATTCCCCAGCCAGCTTTGGGTTCTGGGTAATTCTTTGCTAGCTGGGAAATTCTGGGAGTTGAAGTCCAACAGGCTTAAAGTTGCCAAGGTTGGAGATCCCTCATATAAAGAGAGGAAAAAGACCTCGGAATGTAGGACAGATGGAAGAATATTGCTCCAATTTTTAAAAAACCCAGTTAAAAGAAGAGCAGTGTTATATTAAAAGCAGCTTCTCTGTTCTACTCAGAACAAGATTTTAGGACAGGGCTAAAAAAAACAGAACTGCCAAATAAATCTCTCAAAGAAGAAAACTCCTGCGATTTGGACCAATCGTGTCAAATGCTGACTTATACTCTTATCCTGCTTCACCGAAAATAAGACCCTAATAAAATAAGCTCTAACATGATTTTTCAGGATGCTCATAATATAAGCTCTACCCCAGAGATGGGTTGATCTTGGTTTTACTACCGGTTTGCTTCACACGTGCATACACAGTTCAATGTAAATTGTTCTTCATCCATGTGCAGAATAATTTACAGTGAACTGCGCATACACGCGCACTACTAAACAACATGCCAACAACGGCAACTGGGGAACCGGTTCAGGGGCGTGGCCAGCTTGGGTCGCTGCCAGTTCTGCAATCCAGGCCAAAATACCACTACCCACTTGGCTGAACCCCGCCAACCAGGAGCAACCCACCTCTGCCCTACCCCCAAAATAAGCCCCAGTTAAGATCATCAGCCAGAGGGATGCAATTAGTACCGTATTTCTCCAAAAATAATACCTAACCAGAAAATAAGCCCTAATGCATCTTTTGGAACAAAAAAATAATATAAGATCCGGTCTTATTTTTGGGGAAACACAGTATTGATTCAGTTAGAATTAGAAGTCTCTTGAGCAGTAACCACCCTTGAACAATACAATCCCGTGTCTATAAGGAGACATTTTCCAAACATGCACTATGGTGCCTCCTCCACTTATGCTACATCGTTGGTCAGAACCCACCACGCTTTCGTTTCTATTCTCCATTTCTCTTACCTGAACTTTGGGATGACACCTGTGAACTTGGGAGCTCCTGTGCCGTCAGACTGATTTTTCTCCTCTGCTCTTGAAGTTCCAGTTCTCTTTGCAAAGCATCCTGTATCTCCTGGTCAATCAGGATGGACGTCCGGGGCCGCCATGTCTTCAGAGTATAAAGCTCCTCTCGTGGAGCTGGTTTCTGAGGGTGGCGCTCTTTTCTCTGAAGGCTTCGGGGTCCCTGATCTTCCGGAAAAGAGAACTGTAATTTGCGAACCGGAACGGCAAAATGTTGCTTCTTTAACACGAACTTGTCTCTTGGAGCTTTCAAATCTCGGTTACAGGGAGGACCTCGGCTAGGGAGATCCATCTTCGCGCAAGAATCAGTGGGGTACGTTTTTAAGGATGGCTCATTTCCTGGGGTTTTCTTGCCAAAAGCTGGAACTGAAGAGGGCCGATGGATCTCCGAGCTGTAGTTCACATTCTGGCTTGCAGTTCTTTCTCTGTCCTCTCCGGGTGGGACAACATTGCGACAGAGTGTTGCAGAGTTTCCGTGGAGGGTCTCCAGCAGCTCCCCCTGTTTCTTTTGCTTGCCCAGAGGAGGCAGGGGAACCTCTTCCTCCTCCCGCTCAAAAACTTTCCGACGTTCTGCAAGCTCTTGGCGAAGCCCTCGGTCATACATTCCCAGCAACCTCCCTTCCTTTTGCAGGTCCTCCTCACGCTTGGCTTCCTGCTCAATCTCCCTCAGGACATAAAAGGAAGTGTGAGGTTTATCCTTCCCTTTCCTGGAGGAAGCTGAAGAAGAGACCGGGGAGGAGAGGAGCAGCTTGGAGCGGATCTCCACCAGGTCATCTCTGGTACTGATTCGCTGGATGCCCCTCTCCTTCCAAAGGTTCTCTTCCCTCTCCATGGTCAATCTGATCTCCCGCTCAATGGGGGTCTCGTTCGTAACTTCTGGCTCTTTTGCAGGATCTTGGCCTCTGGCCAGAGGATTTCCTGATTCTTTGTTGAATGTCCTCTCATTAACATTCCCTTGGAAACTCATGTCAACCTCCAAACCAGAGGGCATCTTTTCTGCAGAAACGAAATTAGTCTCGAAATAAGAACGGGCTTCTCTCTGGGGGAGAATGAGAAGGTCTCCTCCTATTGAGTTTTCTCTCAATTGTCTCTGGCTGGACTCACCCAACTCCTTATCATTCCTCGGCATTTCAGGATTCTGGGGTTCTTTGCGCCCATAAGTGTGGCTTGTTGCCTTCAGCTCCCTTGGAGAAGGAACGTGTCTCTTGGGTTCCAACAACATCTTTGGATTAGTCTTTTCCAGTTTGAGAAACTGCTGTCGGGCAGCTGCAAAATTTATCTGTTCTGTGTCTATGTTCTCAGGATCAATGGGGATGATTGCCCAATCTGGGGAAGGATTGTCAAAACAAAGAGCAAAGCTAGTGAGATTGTCCTTTTTGGGTTCTACTGCAACCTTTCCAAGAGAGGACGTGTCGATGGCTTCTAACTCATTCGTAGAGCTCCATTTTTCTGCCATTGTGTTGCTTTTTCTCACAACTTGTCTCCTGATAATCTCCTGCCGTTCATCTTCCAGTTCTTTGGTTATTTCTGGTGAGACATCCTGGGAGGGAACCTGATACCGCAACTCTTCCTCATCTTCTTCATAGAGTCTGGAAGGTTTCTTCTCCCCTTTGTAAGCCCGGATGGCATAGTGTGAGCCAGATCTGAGCACTTCCAACTTGGATTCTCTGTCTGAGGATGGCGTCCAGTGATCTGTCCTTCCATTTATAGATTTGGTCATCACGCGCCAGGATCGATCTTCTGTGGGATCTAACATCTTCCATCCATTTTCAACCTTCAACTCAGGTTGACCCAAGTCAAAAATCTCACTTTCTTTGCCCTCAGGTCTCATTTCTTGTTGTAAGACCACTGTTTGACCACTCTGCTCATGTTGATCTTCATAATTGAGTTCTGTGTTCTGGGGGGAATTGAAGGGAATGTCCCTGGTGCTGGACTTCATTTTTGGAAGAGAGATTTCACAGATGCTGTCTTCAGTTTGCGGAAGATGTTCCTCAGTGATAGGGATCTCTTGGGTCATCCAATTTTCTTGAGAAATATTTGCATCAACAGCTGGGCTTTGCCGGTTCTGAAGGACAAGAGAGGACCTTTAGATAAAGTACATTTCTTAATATATATTACACAAAACAGATAGTGCTTAAGACGTTGAACTGAAACGGAGAAGACTCAAGTTCCACTCCAAATTCTTTGGGTGATTTGGGGTCTTCTCTCCTCTCCTCTAAAGTTACCTCATAGGATTGTGTGGTGGAAATATGGTAACCATATGGTAGATATGGTTTCAGGATGAAATCTTAGAAAATGGATCTCTTTCACTAGGAATTAATGAGTCCTTTTGTGCAGAGCAGAGAATTTATGGGTATCTACATGTTAAAACTTCTTCCATCGTAGCCAGTCCCCCACCCCTCTCCACATGACTGTCACTGGCTTATAAAAGAGAAAATGACAACAGTATAATAGTATAATAATAATTACAGCGTAATCAGCATTTATCTTTAATATGGAACCAGAGCAACATATAGGATGCTTTCCTAATTGGTTCCAAAGGCCCTCTGGAAGTGTTCCTTCTTGACCTGCTTCTGGAAAGTAAGTTTAGTCTTATTAAGGAACCCTCACATTAAGTTGTTAAAGTTTCTTTTACTTTCCACCAAAGGGTTAAGACCAATTTATCAGAATGAAATTGTTCTTACACTAACACCATGGAGTGGAGGAGAAAGGCAAATCTTAAGAAGGATTTTATGGCTAAGTAGGAACTCTAACTTCTAATGCCACCTTGGACACCCAGAGCTAGGAAGCAAATGACCTTTTGTGATTCTTCATCTTCTTAGTGACCAGAAAAAGACCAAACACCACAGATTTCTTCAAAGGGAAGGGAAACACAGGGATTCCCAAACATTGTGGTACCCTGAGCATCTGCAATGGTGATGGCGATCTTATTACACGTGTGTCAGAGCTGACACACCACAACGTTTGGGTGACAAGCCAGCATTCACCAACACTCAACACACTCAAACCCCCCACCACCACCACCACTTGTGTGATTTTCAGAGGCTACGTGAGAATGTCATGCAGATTCTGGACCCTCCAGAAGTCAAATAAGATGGCCATGTTCTCACGTGGTCCAGAGTCTCCAAAAATGATTTTGTTTTACTTATATTTCATTTTTGTAATTATCTGACATTAAGCATAGCATAGCATTTTAGACTTATATACAACTTCACAGTGCTTTACAGCCTTCTCTAAGCAGTTTACAGAGTCATCCTATTGCCCCCAACAATCTGGGTCCTCATTTTAACCACCTCGGAAGGACGGAGAGCTGAGTCAATCTTGAGCCTGGTGAGATCGAACTGCCAAATTGCAGGCAGCCAGCAGGCAGCAGAAGTAGCCTGCAGTACTGCACTCTAACCACTGCCCCACCATGACTCATATAAATATATGTGTGTGTGTGTGTGTTGCATTTGTGCTGATAAATAAATAAAGGGAGACTAGTATAGATCTATTTCAAGCTATTTAGCTCTCATCAGCTAGCCATACCCTTACTGGGATAGGAGNATAGATAGATAGATAGATAGATAGATAGATAGATAGATAGATAGATAGATAGATAGATAGATAGATAGATAGATAGATATGCGAAGCCCACTAAAAGTGGTCTTTTCAGCCATGGTCCTTTAAGTGACAGATGCTGACCCTTGGTGAGAGGAAACAAATGATTTGTTCAGGAGAGGAATCAGGAAGTTGGATCTGCTCCTAATAAAGTGGGAACATTTGGGAACCATCAGTGAAAGGAAAAAATAAAATGAGTGTCATGTCCCTCTTGTCCACTTTGGCTTTCCTCCATTGTTTGCTTAGTTCAGGAAAGAACAAAAACAAAGTTGTCTGGTATTTTTGCCTTTTGTCCACCCCCCCCCCCACTCTCCCAAAGTTATCTACACCAACAAGCTGATCCAGCCAAACATATGATTTTTCTGGTTTTAGGAAAGGATAGTATCCAAAGCTGTTGTGTTTGGGGCAAAGGTCACCTTCTGTCTGATTTTTCACACTCTGTAAGTTGGAATGAGAAAGTGCAACCACACAGGAGAGGAAGTGACCCATGTGGATTGGCTATGCCCCCCCCCCCAGCCCAAACTCAGCCTTCCCAAAAAGAAGAGAAACATTATGCATACCAAAAGTATCTGCAATGGGAGGACCAGGAAGGGGGCTCCCTTTGCTGGTTGCTGCTGGGCTTCCCTAATCTATATGCTTGCAAACAGACAAGTTTCAAGGACGCTGAAAGGACACTGGAAATGTAGTGGAAATAACAAGCACAGGGTTCAAATTCCTGTTTAATTGTAATCCACACTAGCTGCTGTTGAACTGTTCTTCAGATGACACACACACACACAAACACACGGCTTCAGGATTTATTTATTTATGAAACTAGCTAGATACCCGTGTGTCACGATGAAACTATGCGATTGGGCAATGCAGGAGAAATCAGGTTCACTCCTGTTCAATCCGTTGGCTCAGTGGTGATTGGTGATTGAGACTCATAAGGGAATGCCTCTCCCACCGTCTTGAGTTCGGATGCAGTTCCGTAGGTGGAATATACATTTTGGTGTGGTGCTGACATTTAGTACTGTAAGGAGCCCCAGAAGACAACATAATCATTATCCCAGCAGACAAAGGCAACAACACAGTGGTGATGAACAGATCTGACTATCAAGCCAAACTATCCAACATACTCCAAGACCCCGCTTACAAGCCTCTAAACACAGATTCCACCACCTACTTGGAAAAAACCACCAAATCCAAAATAAAAGCCTCTCCCATCAGTGAAGAGATCCAGCAAAGAATCATCCCCA